GTCAAACTGGGTCAATGGAGAACAAGCTTCTATGAATTTATTTACACTCTATGGTTGAAAAAGACGACTCTGTATTGAAACCAGATCACGTCGGATTAAATTTCACTAAAAGGATTAAAAACATATATTTTTATTTTTAATGTGTGACTTTGTCCTCTATTATGGCTTCATCTCTGCCGTTTGTAACAAACTAAACTGTGAAAATCAGGCAGAGGTTCAGAGCTATTATCAATATACTGACCTTCATGTAATGGAGGACCTATCTAAGATGGCGGCCGCGCCGATACGAGAGCTTCAGTAGGCAGCGTCAGGCTCTGAGGCATCTACGTATATTACGTCTATGCACAGATCTACAGACAAACCTACAGACAGACCTATATACATCTAAACACACAGACGGGTTCACAGACCTACAGACAGTTTCAGACATGCGCAGTAGAGCGCCTACACTCGCTGCCAAAAGCAGTTTTAAACCCTCGATAATGAGCCCCGGTTCTGGTCTCTGAGGCCCTGGTTCTGGTCTCTATGGCCCCGGTTCTGAGGGTTGGGTTGTTTGTTTCTGGTCTTTGTTTTTGGACCTTTAAAAGTTTGAGGACCGAAGAAGAAGTAAAGGGGGGGGGGGGGTCTCTAACCGGGCTCTTTACACACACACACACACACACACACACACACACACACACACACACACACACACACACACACAGATGATGTGTTCTCTAACTGTATTTATTATGTCTCTTTATGGACCCCTCTCTCTCTCTCTCTCTCTCTCTCTCTCTCTCTTGTTTTGTTGTTGTTGTTGTTGTTGTTGTTGTGTTGTTGCTGTTGTTGTTGTTGTTGTTGTTGCTGTTGTTGCTGTTGTGTAATAGGGGAGAGCGGAGCACGGACACACACACACACAGATGATGTGTTCTCTGTGAAGAGCCTGAGTGGAACTGAAAGCGCCTCTCTGCCCTCTGAAGTTCAGGACGGATCACATGAGTGCGGTGAAAAAAACACTCGGATTTGCTGACATCTCTGTTTCTATTGGCCTTTGTCCAGGGTCCCGGTCTACTAGAAAAGCCTCTGTGGACCGCCTCCCGGGGTCAGTGGATGTGGTCTGAAACTCTCTGAGAGCTGATCGAGGTCTGAGCTGCTGGATTAGTGAGTCTGAGGGAACTTTCAAAAGAAAATCCTCGATAACGGTCTGATTGTTTAACATTTACAGGCTCAGAGTAACTGATACCATCTAATCTCATAAATCTAAGAGTCCTCAGCTGTTCTCCAACCAAAGGTCCTTCCTGGATCCTTGAGCCTTTAAAAGAGAGAAGTCTGCCTCCTCTGGGGGGTTTAAAGGTGTGGTACTGAACCTGTTTTCAGATTAGGAGGTTCAGTCAGTCTGTCGATGAGAACGGTCTCATGAAAACAAACAGGACAGAAGCTGCTGATAATGACGATGATAATGACGATGATGATGATGATGATGATGATGATGATGATGATTATGATGATGATGATGACGATGACGATGACGATGCTGTGAAAGGCTGAGGTGACCCAGCAGATAACAGAGGAGTCCTGAGAAATAAAAACACCGTCAGGAAAATCATTAACTTCAACAGCTGAGACACACTTTTAACAGGAAGCAGTTTCTGCCTCACCTGAAATCTTCAGCGTCATAAATTCTCCATCTGACAGAATGAGACTTTAAAGGGACATTCTGCTGTAAAATTAATGTAGGGTCAAACCCACCGTAACACCGAGTTAGACCCCCCCTCCAGAGATGAATGTTGTCGACCGCTTCCTTCTCTAGTTAAACCAACTTTAGTAACGACCGCAGGATAGAAATACAGAGAGACACGCCCTCAACCAAAACGCCACTCTATAGCCACAAATAATGCTCAGAACAGCACCTAACTTCATCAACAGGACATATAGGGTCACAGACATAGTACTAGACACCAAACATCTTTTTAACTTTGACTCATTTCTTTAGCAAAGAGACTAAACACAACTCACCTACTCTCTTCCAGCAGACGCTTGTTTGTAGAGAGACCTCAGGCCAGTCCATTACAGACTACAGCGGGGTGCCGCAGCTCAAGGAAGAACATTTATGATCATTTCTTCATGGAAATACAATCAGACCGAGACGCTAAGACAGAAGAACTACCGCGTCTGTAAAATGATTAATATGGTGATTATTACTTCAAGGATAAAGAAATGATCATAGATGTTCTCTCATGTCTTTATTTTGGTCGTCATGGTCTCAGTCTCTGTCGGAGGGTTCTTGTTTCGTCTGGAGGTTCTTGTTTCTAACTGAACTTTAGTTTCTTCTTTGTTTTTATTTCCATGTTCTGAACTTCTGTTTGTCAAAGCTCTTTGAAAACAACAGAAATAAAGTTATTATTGTCATTAGTAGTAGAAGTATTACTCTATAAATGTAAGGAGATGGAACTGTTCCAAAGTCCAGACTTTCATCGATGGTCCTGGTGTGAGACGTAGATGTTCACTCACACCTAGA